TATATATATATATATATATACACAAACAAAATGAAATTGAAAAAGTCTGCAAAAGCACACAAGACACTATCAATGATAGTGGTATTGGAAGGTGTTATATCAATCAGAATAAGACCTTCTTGGTCACACAGTTTACTTTGGGTCCCGCCCACTTTTGGTCAGCAGCAGTTTTTTTGCCCACAGTGCTTGAAATTGTCAAATATCTTTCTATGGTCTCTGGTCACTCTAGTCTCTGCAAATCACTTCCAGTGTGTGTATCTACACAGCTTTAGTGATTAGTGTGCAGTTTGACCATGATGATCCATTGTAATGGACCACCGTAACAGGAAAATATGAAAGAAAAAAAGAGTGGAAAAACAACAGGTCATATATGGTTTTCAACACTGAGCATCATGTTGTTATTCAATCATAGCTTCACATGAGCTTGTCTGTTCCTTCCACCTCTGTTCATGTTTGGGTTATTGCCAGAAATGATTCAGAATCTACTGCATCTGAAGTGTGTTTTACTTAGAAAGTGGAGAGCAAGGAGAAAGCCAGTGTCTGTGGATTTATGTGGATAACAGATTTCACAATTCACAATTACCGAGCTGTGATCCATTTACTAATAATGACATGCACTCTCTCTGAAAACAAACTGACCAATATTTCCATGGAAACTAGTGGATAAAGACAGCTGCATTTTTCACTTCTTCTGTATTGCCAAATTTAAAAACTGTCTCCAAAACTCAAAGCTCTAAAACCTTATCCATCAAATAATTTTCTGCCTTATCCATTAAAATGATAATAATAATAATAATAATAATAATAATAATAATCAAAGCATTGTTTAAGATCGGTCCCACACACGAGCAGTTCTGTTAAATTAATGGAATACAACAAAGTAAATGGTAATACAGCTTTCTTGGAACTCATTTACTTCACTCTCATGTCTCAATGAATACAAAATATTGAGCAATGAAAAAGCAAAGGAAATAAAGTGTTGAATAATTACTGTAATTTTAAACCAAACTTGTCATAAAGCTTGGTTTTAATTATTGTTATGGGGTATAAGGCTGTTATTCAGTTGATCTCTCCATTGTTGCCCTTAGCTTCTTTCTCAATGGTTTGAACATCTTAAGGCTTTGTGTGTTTAGACAGGAAGAGAAGGGTAGTCTGGGAGGAGAACACTTGTGCGGAAATCAATCAGGAAACACGAAAGGGAGCAAAAACACAAAAATAAAAGACTGGTAGCTAAGGCAAAACGACGAGAAATGAACATTTTTAATAGAGTTAAAATCCTGCCCTCTCTGGCTGCATGCTTTTCTTCTTTTTTCTTTAGTTTTATGACTTTGTAATATGGCATAGGGTCAAAATCATCTTTAAAGAAAGGCACAATATTCCAGTTTTATTCTCTTCACCTTTTGTTGTTGAGATTCATATAATGTTGTCACGCTAATAAAAAAGCTAAAAGTAATGTAGCTAATGTAATAACAACTGGTCTGCTACCAATGCATCTTGTTTAACTAACATTATATGACATTAATTTCAGTGGGAAGATATCCTAGAGCTGCTACCCATGGTCAGAACAATCATACAAAAATCAGTTTATGAGGTGGTTCTAACATTACAAGTCACTAGCTTGATGGCTAGCAAGAATGTAAAATATATGTCGCCATTAACGAGGGACCAAATGAAATGAAATTGAATAAAATTACAGATTTCTGTAGATTTGTTAGAAATATTTAGGTTATTGTAAAAGTATAGGACAATAAGAGAAATAGAATTAAAGTCAAATGAAAAATAATGTGGCAGGATGAATAATGAAAAAGTCCAATCAGTCCAGTATAGTTACTTACAATGAAAGTAACTGTACTTACAAAGGAAGCGGAGGCTGATACTTAAGCTTTGCAGTGAACTGAGAAGATGAGAAACAGGTGTGCAGAAGACTCACTGCTGTGGTCCTCATTCAGGGTGAGCAAGAGGAGGTAAGAGAGACAGAGACGCAAAAGCTGCAATGGAGATGTCAGGACCAGGACAAGCCTAGCTTTAAAAAAATGACCAACTCAGTATTACGTTTGATGAGAAACTGTAATAATTTCTAAACTAGACACCTTAGACACCAAGCAAAATTCCAAGTTCATAGAATATGCTAACATTAAGTATCGACAAAAAGTGTTTAGGATATAACTACAGCCAACTAAGTACCAACATTACCATATTGGCTGTCTCCATGTTTTGTTTTGTTTTTTAAGACAAAAGTTACCGTCTGTAGATTAAAGTGTGGAGTATTGATTTATCAGCTAACGCAAGCTGGATTGATAAACCGCACAGGTGCAGTGCAGACACACACATATGAGCTAAATAACGAACAAGTAAAATACTAGAATTGTACTTTTTAAACAACACTGTAATTATTTATGCTTCAAATAATAATAATTATAAATAATAATAATAAAATACTTTATTGCCATTGTCCAAGAATGTACAATGAAATTATACATTTTATTATATATACATTGAATGCTATAAGTTGAACATTTGAACACTGGAGTATGTAGGGTTTTTAACATGTGACCATAATAATCAGCAGGGCACATAATGCTGTAATTCCATCCAGTTGTAAAGTTGGTGTCTAACCAGTTATGTAATGGAAAAAAGACGTTGGTATTTCTGGGAAACATGTGGGGTCCCTGGCATGAATCATCCTAATCATCCTAAAGCTATTATGACATGTTTTAGCCTTAACATTATGACTTTGAAGTAAGTTGCTGTGATGGGATGCAGTATGTTTGTATACATAAATGAGCTCACATGTGTCTGTCAGTTTCAAGCTGGGGTGCCCACAGTCTTTCGTGCTGTTGGCCGTCACTAATTTCATTTAGGATTTTTCTTTACTTTTTTTTTTTTTACAGAAAAATGTTGACAGTTTTACAGCTTCAGTGTTTTTAGCTTTCATGTGAAAAATAAAGTTTTATAAGAGGAGTCCTGTGAAAAACTACACCCCATGATTCAGCTGCTTGTAGACTCACCTGTACAAGTAACAATGTGAAGTAATTATTTCCTGTATGACTTTATCAGTTTTTCCACATCATTATGGATGAATTTTGGCCCATCTTCTTTCCACCGTTGCTTCAGTTCATTGTGGGCATCCATTAGCATTCTTCACAAAATTTTAATTGGGTTAAGTTCTGGACCTTTACAAGGTTTGTTGCAGCAATGTGATTGAACAAGTATGGCACATGGAGACAAAATAAGACAATATGAAGCCTTCCATTTAGTAAGGTCAGCTTGGCACAGAGGAGCAGCAGAATCTCAAAAGTTTCCACTCTGAGTCTGGTGTACACTGAACCAACTGTATCAGCCTCAGACATGGTGCTACAAAACAGAGAAACAGGGCTGGAATGATAAGCACGATTATCATTGGAGTGGAGACCCAGCCTCGAAACAAAGAATCTAACAGGGGGTTTGTGTTAGAACTGAGTTTTAGTGACTAAGACCAAACTCCAGACTGCAGCCCTGCTACGATTCTATCAAAAGAGTCATGCTCAGAGTGAATGCTGGGGTTTTTCACAGAGTCACGGTTTCCACCGCTGGGCGGAGTCGCTACATTTCTGCATGTCTCCACACCTGCTGGTAATTGAGCTGCCAGTACTTAGACCAGCACGCAACACTACTCTTTGCCAAGTCATCAGCTAATAGCAATTAGTGCTGACCGTCATAGTGTTTCACAGAAAGAGTCTTGTTTATAGTAATATTAATTCACCTTGTGTTTTCCTACCCTCAGCCATCCTGTCACTTCCCAATACACTCTTTTATCCGGACACTGGTTTGTACTCGGCAGCTCTTTGCATCACAGCACCTTTTGGATTCACTCACCTGTCTGTCCTCCTGTCACAGTACTCGACTGATCCCCTCTTCCTGTAGCCCACACTGCCTCACTCGGACCACTTATCCCTCTCTTGCCATTGCTCCACCTGCTAAAGTAAGATAAAATCTGTTTATGGTTCATACTCACCAGGACTTCACAGACCCAGCCACTAAACCTTGTCTTCTCTCATTCTAGTGTTCAGAGCGTCCTGATTGTGTTTCCTGTTCCTATCCCCTTGTCACAGTCCCCAAGTGCCTTTTTGTAAATCTAGTTTTTCACATAGTTTAGTATCACTTGTGTTTGCTAATGTTGTTAGAGTCTCGTGTTATTTGTCATAGTTCACAGTTTACAGTCGAATCACCTTCGTTATTATCTTGGGCTTGTAAATAAAGTTCTGTAAATGACGCTCACAAGTGCCTCCGTGTGTGATCTGCATTTGAGTCTAGTTGTCCGGTTTGGCCTCGCCTGTGAGAAAAGGCTGTACCTTAAGAGAGCTGTGCATAAATAAATACCTGCAAGGCTGAACTGGGCCAAAATTCCTCAACAACGATGTGAGAGACTCAGAAATCCATACAAAAAATTAATACTGCTGCAAAAAGTGGTTTTTACAACTGACTGAATTATGGGATGCCCTTAGTTTTTCAGAGGACTATGAAAAATGGTCTTTTTCACATTACAGAAAAGTTTTAGTGTTAAATCATTGTTCAATAATAATAATAATAATAATTATAATAATAATAATAATACATTTTATTGCAAAATATTCAAGGACAACTTACAAGCATTTAAATAACAAATCTAATTAAACGGGCAGTGTGATGAGACATTTAGTGAAAATATTTTATAAATAATGAACCTTTCAAAAATGACCAAATAGTATGTAATGTATTATTTTTTGAGTACTCCGATATGGATTTTGGCCATAGTGTATGGGTACAAGAATGCACTGCTGGAGTCGCCCGAGAGCAATTAGAAACTAAAGTTTGAAGCCTTCCATTCAGTAAGGTCAGTTTGGCACAGAGGAGCAGCAGAATCTCAAAAGTTTCCACTCTGAGTCTGGTGTACACTGAACCAACTGTATCAGCCTCAGACATGGTGCTACAAAACAGAGAAACAGGGCTGGAATGATAAGCACGATTATCATTGGAGTGGAGACCCAGCCTCGAAACAAAGAATCTAATCAGAGGGTTTGTGTTAGAACTGAGTTGATCAGCCAATGTTTCCAATTTATCATCAGTGACGAGGATTGTCAAGAGAAAACAGGAGAAAACGATCATGACAGCGTGGCTTAGTTGACAGCATGGCTTAGGAACAAGGTGGTGATGCTTGCCCACAATGCACAGTTTCACATTTGATGAAAACCACAGCATATCAGCACAAACACCTCATACTAACTGTCAAACATGGTGGTGGAGGTGTGATGATTCAGGTTTGTTTTATAGTCACAGGACCTGAGGACCCTGCAGTCAGTGAGTCAACTGTGAACTCCTCTGTATACCACAGTATTCTAGAGCAAATGTGTGGCTGAAACTGAGTCATGAAACAGGGTAGTCTACAACAGAATGGCTGAAAAAGAAACGAATGAAGGTGTTTTAGTGACTAAGACCAAACTCCAGACTTCAGCATTGCTAGGATTCTATCAAAAGCTGTGATGGGACCTTAAGAGAGAGACCTTATGAAATATGTAGCACTGGAACAGAGAGGTGATGGGTTGCACGTTTTACCACAGAACAAGGCCTCAAACTCAAAAGTCAAACGTGGGCAGTTGTGAGTCACCTAGAAACATGCCTCCATACAAATGTGTTGCAAAGCCTAGGCACAAGATTTCCAAATATATCTAGATTTTATCAGTGTTGGTCATTTATAGAATATGATGACTTTAGTTTATATAGGTGTAATGTTTGTGAAAGGGAAATATTAGCTAATGGTAGCAAAGAAAAATAAAATTTTCATGTCCAGATTCTTAATGATTGATGGTTTCAGAAGTAAACTTTCTAAGCTAGTATTATTCAGTAAACTTATGGAAATGATTAATGTAATGGTGACATAATACTATGCACTATGGAAAGGAGAGGAAGAATATGAATTATCAGAGGAACATAGGCTAAAGTTCAATAAATGAGCTGAGGGAACAGCTCAACTAAAGGGAGAGGGAAGACTGGGCACAGAAAAATATAAAAAAGGAAGGAAATGTGATTGAAAGATGATAAAGAAGTGAGGAAAACTGTTCAAAAAAAGATGGGAAATGAGGAATATAGTAGGAGGATAGACAGATAGAAAATGACCCCAAAGCTAAAGAATGAAATTCCATAAAGGCAAGCTCCAATCAAATAGACAGCATGACCGAGAGATGAAAAGACCTAAATGATGTGAGGGAGTGGGGGCGGACAGTGAGGAGGACAAGGGATGACAGAATGGAGGAAGAGGAGAAAATTGGATTGAAAGAGTGAGGGAGATATTAGGGTGGAAAGAAGAAGATATGGAGGAGGAGGTGAATGAGGGGGCGTTGCAAGCAGAAAAGTTTGGCAATATCTCTGATTAGTTTGATACAAGACATATTAAAGTTTTCCAATACAAAAGTGAACTTCAATGTAGAGCATGGGAAAGAAACAAGCCACTGCATGTGACTTGGAATTTAAAATCCTTCTCATCACATACACGGTCTTGAATAATCAGGCCCCATCTTATCTTAATGATGCCATAGTACCGTATCACCCTATTAGAGCACTTTGTTCTCAGACTGCAGGCTTACTTGTGGTTTGTAGCATATTAAAAAGAATGGGAGGTAGAGCCTTTTGGTTTCCAGACCCATCTTCTGTGGAAACAGCTTCCAGCTTTGATTTGGGAGACAGATAAAGTCTCAATTTTTAAGATTAGGCTTAAAGCTTTCCTTTTTGATAAACCCTAGAGTTATAGGACCCTGAATTCTTCCCTAGTTACACTGCAGTAGTTCTAGGCTGCAGGTTGTTTCTTCTTCACTTACTTTTTTCACTCACTCATGTGTTTATACACCCCTCTGCATTTAATCAGTACTTATTATTAATCTCTGGTTCTGTTCCACAGTGGGTCTTTGCCATCTTCTTTCCCTCACCCCCAACTGGATGTGTCAGATGGCTGTCCCTCCCTGAGCCTGGTTCCGCTGCAGGTTTCTGGTAGAGGGAGTTTTTCCTTCCCACTGTCACCAAAGCATTTGCTCATAGGGGGTCATATGATTGTTTGGATTTTCTCTGTTACCTGTATTACTGTAGGGTCTTTACCTTACAATGTAAAGTGCCTTGAACTGTTGGATTAATGTATATAAACAAAACTGAATTGAATTGAACTCATTCAAGGCAACACAATCACATTTAGTCCTTTTTCATTAATATCTACTCTGATTGGCTCAGCGTGACTCATTTTTGAGTTATGGTGAGTAATGTGTGTTGGGTTATTACTCAAAAGTCCCGTGATGTCATTTGTATGCAACATGAGGCGATGGTATAGCAGCTGCTCAGTCTGTGGCTTTTGTCAGACTCAGGGACCTTTCTCTGCTTGGCCATCACTACTATGTGCAGCTGGTCAGCCATCACCAGTTTGTCCATCTATATCAGTTGGTCCTTCACTCCCTGATACTTCTCTTGGCTGTCCATGTTTAGTTATTTATCTCTAGCTCTGGGGACCCTTATATTGTCATTAAAAATTGTGTCTTAATGGGCTACAGACAAGTTTGCTTCCCAGATATCATTAGATGATGAATAAATATGTTAACATATAGATCCACATTCATATTCAAAGTTAACATAGACTGTATATCGAACCTTTGTGTCAGTATAGGTTTTGGAGACAGTTACAAAACATTGTTCTCCATTGTTTGAGGTAAAAACCTGTCATATAGAGAGGAAACTGTAATCCCATAGACACATATCCAGACTGACAGAAACGAGACATTTCTGCAGCGAGCAGATTGCTGTTTGATTTGATTGATTTGGATTTACAAATGATGACTAGAAACCATTTTAAAGCCTATCTTAAATAGATTTTAAATAGAACCTTAAATAAGCACTAAAAAAATACTGACATATTTCCCACAATGAATACACAAATCCATTTTTTTTTCCAACGCCCGAGAATTACACATGAAAGTTTGGCAGGTTTGACAAATTTTTTTTTTTTTTTTCATATTTTTTCTGCATTGAAGCATCTGAACGGAACGGAAATCAAATTTGCGAGTGACACAGAAACTAAAGAAAAGCACAGAGAGAGAGAGAGTGAAGTGTAAACATTTTGGCCCAGCTCTGCAACTGTAGCAATAAATCATCTCGGTGCTAAGTTCACTAACTGGAGCTCAGCTGTAGCAGTGAAACAGTATTTTAAAGGGACAGAGCAGGATGCAAAATTGAGCAAACTTTCAAAACTTTTAAGGTGACATAACTTTAACATCTGATAAATCTCCAAAAGCTGTGCACACACATTGCACGGGTAACGTTGCAGTTATTAACTTTGCACAAGAACACACAGCTGGCTGCTGCAGCAAAGAACATAACCTAATGTATTATGTATCATGGTGGTGTCTAGCTGTGTGCCTGAGGTAAAAAAAAATATTACTTTACCATTTCCATGTAATTGTATATTCAGTGAACTACGAGGACACTTCTTGGCAAATGCAGTGGTCTGATTGGTTCGATCTGTTTATTCACACACAAAATGGAAATTATTCATTGTCGGTATGGATGGCTGCATCAACAATAGGTGGGTCAAAATATTATGAACGTGCAAATTTTACTTTACACGTCTGCTGCTAAAAGAGTCTTACAGCCAACACTCATGCTGGATGTGGGAGGTAAACACAGGAGAGATAAATAAAAATTAGTGGAACAACAGAATTCCTTTTTGACAGAAACCATTGTGTCATCTCTAATTACTCAGAACTTTAGGTTATATGGAGCTCCTAGAATTATTACTGTCAACTAACCACATAGAGAGACTGCAGAAACTGCAGTCCAGATTACATTCTCACTCACACACACACACACACACACATAATGTTAAGTCCCCCTGTCTGCCCCACCATCTGTTTAATTTTCTTCCATGCTGAGTGTCCACAGATGGGACCCGAGGAGTCATGCAGAGCTGGGAAATAACATAACTCGATGCAAGAAAGAAAATCGCTGGTAAAGCTATCGACAGATACAGACACAGACCAAAGGATAAAAATAAAGTGGCAGAAAGAAAGGAAGTGTGACCAGGTGCAGGTGACCAGAGGAAATGGATTGTGGATCATTTTGAGAAGTGGAGTCGAGTGGAAAAACACTTATCACCAGCCTGAAGTGGAATATAATACTTACACTGAATGTCTCCACAAAGATCACAGCTACACTAAGTACGATCTTGGAGGAGAGTGCAGCGGTTTGTGGGGGTGTGTTTCTCCTTTTCGAATTAGTGTGAGCTTTGATTTACGCTGGTGTTGGCTGTAATTTATTTGGCGTCACTGAGCAAAATAACCTTTCAGTGTACTGTCTGCAGTCTGCGAGAGAAATAAGCCGTTCCTTTTCATTTTGACTTTGTTTTCTAGGCTTTAGAAAATGTGTCCCACAATGAGAGATTTTAAACCAACTGCAGCTATAGGCATCTTTTTTTTTTTTACCATGGAGGTCCGGTGGGAGAGAAAGAACTATGTGATCTCTGAAACTGACACCCACCATCTCTCCCCAGCAAAATGGAGATTTTTAGATATTTCGAAAAGACTCTTAGAAACAAATCATGTTCAGCCAACATATATTCACCTATTTGAAAATCTGGATTCATTAATACTCTTGTCTGGTTATAGATGGCATCACATCTGTTAAAAAAGACCTCAAGACACCCCAACCTCCAGGCTAACTATAACTATTTTCTCCAAGGTCACTGTTTGTCATAAGCTGAACAGCTAAACAGGCTTCATAGAAAGGCACATCTGCAGCCAAGTCATGCACTCCTCTGTTAATAGTAATTATGTAAACCAGATAATGTAGCTGGAAGGCAATGAATGGATGGAAATCTGAGAAGATTAACTTTAACATTAAAGAGAAAGTGAAAATGAAAGACCGACTTTGCCAAACATACTTGTTTTGTTAAGATTATGTACCAAAATACTTGCTCTGAAGATTGGAAGATGGTTGGTTATCTGGCCCCTCGTGCTGAAGGTCCCAAAAGACTGAGATTGTGTTTACTGCATGTGATACTGTGACATGGATCTAATCATTTTGTTTATTAAATAAACTTTATGTATACTGTATAATGATAAAACCAGTGACTGTATAAAAGACCCCAAATCTGTTTTTTATCGACTATGACAGTTGTGCTAATCATGCAAACATTTTTTTCTTGGCTGGAAGCCCCCCAATTTATTTTTTCTGGGTTTGATTCTTTCTCTCAGAATTTTGTCCCAGGTTATTGTTGGTGCCGAGACTGTTACAATGGCCAACTTTAAGCTTTCTCACAGGTCAACCGAGAACTCTCACCATGAAACCACAGTCCCAGTCTTATACTAGAGCATCTCAAATGATTTCAGTATAATGAGAATGCAATTTTTCTGGGTAATTCATTTTGTTTTAATGCTCATGAAAATCAAAAAAAAATTGAAACATTATTAGAATATTTCATTTTGAGTTTGAGTACTAGTGCTAGTAGTACTATTCAAAGAGTGTAAATGCAGTCTTTTTGGTCCAGTGCAGTATATGTAACCATGGACAGTGGGAAGTTGTCTAAATTCAATTCAGTTCAGATCAACAGTTCAAATTTAGGTTTATTTATATAGCGCATTGACTGTTATTGTGATTAGGAAATGATAATAACAGTACTGCAAGGTACAGACCCTAAAGTTTTTTGCAGAAAAGAATCACACGATCCCCTTTCAGCAAGCAGTTGGCAACAGTGGGAAGGAAAAACTCCTTTTTAAGAGGAAGAAAACTCCTGCAGAGCCAGGCTCAGAGGGGAAGCTATGTGGTATGAAGGGTTGGTGGCGTGATGGAAAAGTGAAAAGAAGAGCATGAAGAAGATGATCATCAACATGGAAGGAAGAAGCATGGTAAATTAAAAAAAAAAAGATGCTAAAGCAGTAGGGATGACTTGGGAGGATTGTCATGAAAAGTTAATTCAAGAACTTGGGAGAGTTTTGCAAGGAGTGGACTGAAGCTGCTGCCGGTGCATCAAGAAGTCTTCCAAAAAAAAGCTACAACTGTCACTTATATGAAGCCATTCTGAATCAGAAACAAGTAGAGTTACATCAGATGCGTCTTACCTGGGCTACAGAAAGAAAAAGAAGTGGAGCATCAGTCAGTGGTTTAAAATACTCTTTTCAGATTAAAGTAAATTCTTCGTTTCATTTGGAAATCAAAGTCCTGGATTCTGTAGGAAGAGGCTCAATCCAAGGTTTCTGAAGTCCAGTGTGACGTTTTGGTATCTGTGATGATTTAAGGTTTCATCTGTTGCTGTTGGTGGTGGTTGGTCTGCTCTGCTTTGTCAAGTCCAAAGTCAACACTGCCATCTGCATGGAGACTTCAGAGCACTTCATGCTTCCATCTGTTGACACACTCTACTCTGAGTGCCAAAACTAATACCAAATCGTTCGCTGACCATCTTCTCACACTGCTTGATTGGCCAGTCATCTCCCGAGAGCCACGGAGAATCTTCTGGATTGATGAAAAACACCTGAACCAAAAATAAAAAGAGCTGAAGGCTGCTATCAAAGCAGACGGTGCTTCAACAATATCTCAGCAACCCAAAACAAGTATCAGTTGTATAAAAAAGATTATTGTCAGCAGCTGGAAGTACTGTACCTAGCTCTCATCTTCTTCCTCTTCTGCTCCCCCTTTCTTACATCTTTCTCCATCTTGGAAAGTTGCATTTGAAATTGCCTGGCACTTAAAAAAGCTTAACTCTATTTATGCCACCCTCCTTTGTAGATCCTCAAGTACTGTGACCAACTCTATTTGACTGCATCATAGGGATTAGAAAAAAACGATGCGAGCGAGCCACAGGACGTCATTATTTTCATTATTGTCTTATTACTCAACTCCAAGCCATCATTGGAAGCAACGCCAGGCTGCAGGACACAAAAAATGAACTCACTCGACAGTAATCTTCATTAGCTGCAGATCAGATTTAAATGCTCATTAACTGAATGCTGTTTAACCCCTGGGCTTGTCATTTTGATTGCAGCGGAGTTGTTGCACAAACAGAAGACAGCCTCTGTAGTTCATTTAGTCACAAACTGAATTCCTCAGTTGTGTTCCTGTCGATATTATTGTCAACATGGCTCTTCGTGAGCCAACAAAATGTGGATAACTCTAACAATAAATTAAGACTGAAAAAAGAAAGAAGAAAAAGAGCTTTTATAAGTAAACAGTCCCCCTGACTTGAGAGAACATGAGCCTACTTCTTTCACAGTTTAAGGCAACTAAAACCACTGCTGAAAATGTGATGTGGTTCAGAAAAGTCAAACAGCACGGACTGAAACGGGTCAAAAGTTGATCAAAGTTTGCAAATGAGCTGAGAAGAGCCGACCAAAAATGGAGTTCTACAATAACAAGCAGAAATAAAAGGCAAGCCACAACAACTTAACAACTCACTCACACACAAAGAGTAAAGAGGCAGAAAAGCACAGGCGTCATTCTCAGACACAAGCTATGAGTGGATGGAGGTGAGTAGGAAAGTGGAAAAGAAATGAGCTGCTTTTGTCCCCAACAAAACAAAGCAAAACATTTGATCAAAGCAAGCGATGCTACATTGGACGCACTGTTATATTACCCGAGTGTTGCACCAGAGGCCGCTGATTCATTGGGCCAATTTAACCCTGGCCCTGCGTTCCCAAAGCACACAAAGGGAACAATTCATTTGTGCTTTCAAATGTTGAGTCTGGTCCGAGCCAAACCAGATCTTCTTTGCACAGTGAGATTTATATACATGTTGCTGCTGACTCTATAACACTTCTGAGAGAGAACCGGTTCCTCAAAGACCACTCCCCACTCCTGTTGCACATTCTTACTGTAACAACCAAGCAGCAGCCTGTTGGGCTGCATGGCACCAACACAACAGAGCCAAATTGTGCATTTCCTGGAGGCGTCACTTGAGACTGACTTCAAAACAAAGTCGGCACCCATACATGTTCAAATGACCAATATAACTGCAATAAAAAGCATTTCTACAGCCTGCATAAAACTAGTTTTGGTCTAAATGGATCACTTTTATTTCAGTCAATTCCATAAATCAGTAAGTGACATAAATGTGGCCACATAAACGTTTCACATCATTTTTTATTATTTTATATTATAAAGAGAACATTGCACGTGATCATCTGTTTGAATGGCTTGACTGAGAAAATGTAACCCAGGCAACCAAAACAAAATGAATACTGAGACGTAAAACCGTGACTCTTGTTTACGTGACTGCAGTGTGAGGTTTTACATCTTTATGTATCTTTATGCGTTCACATTTACAGTCTTGAACTTCTGAACTAGTGTGCTCTGCAGAGCTGCCAAAACAAACATGTCTAAATGACGTTTTTCAGAAATACTTTTTTTTCCTCAGAAGTGCTGATGGCTGTGTTACATTTTTAAAATAAACACTTGTAAAATAAACATATGATAGAGAGTAATTTATTGGTAGGGAACCCAACTTCCACTCCTTTCTCCCAGCATACAGCACGGTCCTACATGCTCAAGGCCATCACTGTTTGGGTCAGTCAGAAGCTCTTGACACAGATTTCATGAGTATTCTCTGTGTTTTTGCTTTGTTTTCTAGTTTCACTTCTGTGGCGTCTGGTTGGCTGAGGGCTCACACTGACCTGGACAGGAAGCAAAACATGAAGGACCCAATCAAAAACCCCGGAGAATAGACGAAAGCGCGTGTGATGGAATGCTAGAAGGAGGAGGAGGAGGGGGAGGAGGAAGCAGGGCTGTGAGTTTAGACAAAGATAGATCATGGGAAGTTTTGGGAGGTAACTCTAACGAAACACAGTTTGATTTTTCTAAACCCTGTTGCTGTCTTGCTTCTAGGCTAGAAAACTAAAAAAATGACCAAATTAGTGTCTAAACCCCAAAACCCATGACATCATCACTAAGCCTGTAAGCTGGGTGTACTTAGGGTTTTAAAAGCCTCTGACCGCGTTTGCTGCTGAAGCGTCATGAAGGAGTTCAATGAAGCAGGGACCTGGTAAAAAAGAACGGATCAAAGGCAAAGGATCTTTATAAAACAGCACCTGGGTACGCTTGCTTTATAATTAGCTGTTTTTACCATCACAGCTATCCTTTTGTGTGGGTGTTATCCAAAGAGTGTGCTAAGTACTAGCTGGTTTCAGGTAGAGGCAACTAAAAAGTGACTTTATTACTTACTTACTTTCACTTTTGGCTCTAATCAGTGCTAATAGCAGGGAATTTCCCCTCTGTTGATCTTACAGAGATAGCCTAAATGAATGCTTCTCTGAGCACAGATGCACTAGGCTAATTTATTTCACCCAAAAAACAAAAACACCCAATCTAATCATGTCTGTTAATGATTCTAGCCAGACTAGCAAAGGCAGAGGATCTTTTTTCCAAAGTAAAGGTGTTACCACTTGAGAATGAAAGCAAGATAACTGACAAACAGAAAACTGTAGAGTAGACCTGGGGAAATAAAAGCTCCATAATGCTTTCATGTATTTGGCTTGAAGGAAGGTGCCTAATCAGGTGGCCTAAATGGTGGGGCAGTGGATTCATTCAAATGGACTTATTTGAGGAAATCCCAAAAAGTTGATTCTGTTGATCTGGATGCAGCGTTTTCAGTGAAAAAAACGTTTTGTCACTCATCCAAGTGACTTCTCCAGTCTCCAGAGACTTAAGAAGTTTGAAGAAGTCACTTGGATGAGTGACGTCTGCATCCAGATGAACAGAATCAATTTTTTGGCATGGTTTGCATCATGGTTCCTAGTTAATACTCATCCATCCTTCCATTCATTTTCTTCCACTTAGCCAGTTCTGGGTTGTATGGGGTAAGAGGTACACCCTGAACAGGTTGCCAGTCTGTAGGGCTAAGACAAGGAGACAGCCAACCCTTAACACTCACATTCAATCCTATGGCTAATTTAGAATCACCATTTAACCAAACTCCGTCACCCTTTCCTCCAGGAGAATGGTAATTTGAGGCCTTGGACAAAAAAGCTGCAGGGTATCTATCTTCCCTTTACCAGAGTCACTGTGTTTCACCCCTGATGGATTTGAAACACCAGTTTATACCTATCTCAAGAGAAGAAAGCTCATCTGAGACCACTGTCATGGCAGTAACTATTAAGGCACACACAAAGATCATATCTGGAAGGTGAACATTATTAACAGTTAAAGTGAGGGAAGACACGGAGGATACAGATGTCCACTGTGGCCCCTGTGATAGACTGGCGACCTGTCCATGCTGTAACCCGCCTCTCGCTCTGTGACATCTGGTCACAGCTTCCAGTTTACAAAAGAGATGGATCGATAGTTTGGCATCCAATGAACTTAGCTGTCAGTTTGTAGAAATCTACACAACACCATCCATGGCCTCAGCATGAGCAAAATGTTCTTTTGAGAAACAGGAATGACCTTGTTTGTACAGGTGAAGAGCTAAATTATTAGCTAATGATAGCAATAGCGATTTGAACTACAGAGACTAGCATTTTGTACCAGGATGTAAATATGTTATTTTCATAGCTAAAGACGTGAGACGGGGACAGAGTGTGTGCAGCCAGCCTCAGCTGGCTTTTGGAGGAGCTATAGTTTTTGGTAGGTCTGCACTGGCTTCATTTTTCTGCCATTCGGGTTGCTGCTTAGTTAAGAGCTCACTTTCACTGCTATCAGCTCTTTTTCAGTCTTTGCACTGCAATATCAGCTGACTGAAATCTCTGAGAACAGTGGTTTCTCACTGGGCATGGAAGCCACCCATTTTGTGTTTCAGAATGTGTTTACTTTATGATCCCTAAGGAGGAGTTTTGGACTTCAAATCCAAGTTGACAGTACAGCCTTTAAAACTACCAAGAATACAAATCACAACAAATCTCATTTTAATAACACTAATCAGCATGAACAATAATTGTACGTGTAACTGATAGGTTGCACTCACCCAATGACCTCCACACTACACAGTGCTGTTCAGAGCATCAATTGAACAAGCAACTGATGACTTTCAGTCTGTCAAACTTACAGTGTGGAACTTTGTATCTTCTGCCAGAAAGTACAAAGTTCATATTGTGACAACAGGATGTGAGTTGGGTCACACGAAATTCCCCAGGCTTATTGTAACACACTGTCCATAAAGGGACTGAGGGCTTTGACGAGCTGTCTGACCTATGATTTTCATGGCTGCCTGCCACTTTTAGTAATGTTGTTTTTTAAAGACACCAAGAAAATGTCAATAACCTTTTTGTTAAGAACTAGAACAATTTGATATACCAATAAAACAAAATAAACAGAATCTAAATTGGCTAAATTATTTATTTTGTGCACACATGCGCTTGGACCACCAGGACACCCAGATGATAGATACTCCCATGCCTGCTGAATTCATTCTGATATTCTGCAGCATATGTTTTAGAAAAGAAAATGCTGGTTATGCATTTTCACAGTCTTAACAGCAGCTACAGCAGGACTTTATGACGGTGATAGTTTTGAAATGGAACAAATTAAATGAAAGTATGTTGTTTGCAGTCCAGAATCTGAGTCATGGGCATCTGCGCTGCCTGGACAGAGGACAGCGATGACCTATATTAGAGTTTGGGTGGTGACAGCTCCTCGTGCCACTTTGAGCTCCCTGTTATAAAACTCCTGGATGGAAACACAGCTATCTTGACTCTCTGTTAAGTAAGAATGATGGATCTGGAGTTTAAGGAGAGAGAGAGATTGTGTGGAGGAGGGGCTGCAGGAAATGAACACACCAGGGAGAAGGGAGTAACACTGACTTTATGTTATTTGATGAAAGAGGAGGATTTGTTGTGCTGTGTGTGTGAGGGTAGGTTATATACAGGAGTGGGAGGGAGGAATGTGTGTGTATAGGAGAGAGAGAGAGAGAGGGAGAGAGAGAG